TTGTTTTCTGAACTAGGATGTGGTATATCTTGGTATATAGCCCATGTGTGTTTGAAATATGGTGCATTCTTCTATTCTTGGGAGGAGTGTTCTATAGATGTGAAATATATCCCCCTGTTTGATGGTGGTGTTGATCCTTGCTGATTTATTGTCTAGGTGTTCTATTAATTGTTAATAGAGGGGTTTTAATTCTTCAACTATACTTGTATATTTGCCTATTTCTCTATTCAGTTCTGTCAGCTTTGTTTTACATGTTTTATAACTCTGCTGATTGGTGCATATGCATTAGTCTTCTGGGTATATTGACCATTTTATCATTATACTAGAGGCCCAGTGCACGAAATTCGTGCACTGGAGGGGAGGGGTGTCCCTCAGCCCAGCCTGCACCTTCTCTAATCTGGGACCCCTTGGGGGATGTCCAACTGCCGGTTTAGGCCCGATCCCTTGGGCCTAAACCAGCAGTCAGACATCCCTCTCACAATCTGGGACTGCTGGCTCCCAACTGCTCGCCTGCTTGCCTGCCTCATTGCCCCTAATTGTTTCTGCCTGACAGCCTGATCACCCCCTAACCACTCCCCTGCCAGCCCGGTTGCCCCCAACTGCCCTCCCCTGCCAGCCCAATCTTCTCCAACTGCCCTCTCCTGCCAGCCCGATTACCAACAACTGCCCTCCCCTGCAGGCCTGATTGCCACAACTGCCCTCCCTGCAGGCCATTTTGTAGTGGCCATCTTGTGACCATATGGGGGTGGTCATCTTTGACCACATGGGGGCGGCCACCTTGTGCGAGGGTGTGATGGTCAATTTGCATTTACCTCTTTATTATATAGGATAACATCTCTTTCTGTTTCTGATAATTTTTTTTTGCTCTGAAGTCTACTCTATTTAATATTAATGTAGCTAATCTTACTTTGTTTACAACAGTGTTTGCATACAGTATCTTTTTTCTATTCTTTTACTTGAACCTGCCTATATCAATATATTTGATAGAGGACTCTATATAGAAATACTGATGAGGCTTAGCAGGATGGTCCCATACCTTAGAAATATTCCCTGGGTCCAAATGTGGTGCTGGAGCAGGAGAGAGCTGATGGGAGGAATCAAGAGTTTATGGCAGCTCTGGGAAAGGACAATAGAAACCTCTGTGGACAGATGAGTATAAACCAAAAGACCTCCTCCTACTTCCCATCATCACCACCTACCCATGGCCTGGAATGACATATGCTCTTGGAACTTTGACCCTACCCAAGGGAGTGGGGAAAAACCTTTGAAATACTGACGCCTTGAAAGTGAAATAAAATACTGTACTGATCTGGGGCCTGCTTGCCCTCAGATTCATATTCCAGGCCCTTCCCCTATTCACCTCTCTGTTGCAGGCTTGCAGGCTATTTCCCTGGCTCTTATGGCAGCTGGTGTCTAGGCTTGGCTAACTGGAAGGCACTGTCAGGACCTTGGAGGGCAGGAGGAGAGGAGAATCTATGGTATATTTTCCCCCTTTCCCTGCCATAGACAACTTTCGTGGCAGTGGCTGTCTCTCCTCTGTGCAGCAGTCTCACCAGGCTGGCCATACTGCCTGGCCCCTGGGTTCCAGTAACCCTGCTTCCTCCCTTCATTTCTCCAGCTACGGGCTGCATTTGCTAATTTCTGGATTACCTCACCAACTCCAGTTTAGCTTCTGAGTTTTTCCATTGCCTGTGTTATCAATTCCTTGCATTCAATTGTCTTTGTAAATATTTAGAGTCTCTAATTTCCTGGTTAGCCCCAGATTGAAGCAAGCATGTTTAGAGAAAAGGTGGAGATGTGATGTTTCTTGCACAACTGGGTTTGCAGTGTTTGTTTTATATTCACTATGTTATCAAGTCTACCTACCCTGTTCTCTGTAGCTGGCTGTTTGCTGGGTGACACTATTTTTATCAATAGGCAGAGGACCTGATTAGACATTTCTCCCAAGAGGACATAGAGATGGCCAGCAGGTATACGAAAAGATGCTCGACATCACTAATCATCAGGAAAAGCAAATTGAAACCACAATGAGATATCACCTCACACTTGGATGAATGGCTATCATCAATAAATCAACAAATAACAAGTGCTGGTGATGATGTGGAGAAAAGGAAACCACTGTGCACCGTCAATGGATTGTCAGTTAGTGCAGCCACTATGGGAAACAGTATAGAGATTCCTCAAAATATTAAAAATACAGATGCCGTAAAATCCAGAAATTCCACTTGTGGGTACTTATCTGAAGAAAACAAAAACACTAATTTGCAAAGATAGATGCACTTCGATGTCCTTTGCAGCATTGCTAGTAACACCTAAGATATGGAAGCAACCAAGATGTCCATCAAGATGAATGGATAAATAAGATGTGATATATATGATGGAATATTATGCAATAAAAAGAACACAGAAACAGACTCATAGATATAGAGAATAAGCTGATGGTTGCCAAAGAGCAAGGAGTGGGGGACAGATATTTTAAAAAAGCATAATCCTTCCTAGGAAATCTTCCTTTTAAAGTGATTGTGTGGGAAGGATGCCTTGAGGCAAAGATGTAACTTACACAGGGGGCATTTGAGCTGGAGTGTGTGACTCTCCATACCCAGAAGGCCTTTCAGATCACAAGAACTATTCTATGTTTGTTCCCAATTCTTTATAAGCATGCCATTAAAAATAGATTGAATAGACCTCCACAGAACATAGAAAAGCCCTGGGAAGGGCTTCTGCGTCACTCCCACCACCCGCATACCCTCAGACACAGTTTTCGCAATCCACAACTGATCTGAGTTAAGACAGTGCCCATTCAGAGTCTTTAGTGGCATAGACATGTCACTGAGGGCCCACACATAGAGCTGTTTGTTATCAGCCTGGTGAATTGGTTTATTAGGTGTTCATTGGAGCACTCAAGAACTGACTGAAGTTTTGATTGAGTTAGGAGTAAGGGCTAGAATGGGAGCACCGCCCAGGAAGAGAGGCAATTTGGAGACAATGTCCTCTCAAGAGGGCTAGCCCTGAGCCTAATAAACTTACAGGCAAAACAGAACTTTATTGCTTTTGGCCAAAGAACATTGCCAAACTTTCAGAGCAAAGGGCAAGTACAAGGCATACTTCTAAAAAGGTTACAAAATTTCAGACGGGACAGAATAAAAGTACATTTCTGAATATAAAGTAGTCAATGTTTTGGAGGTGGTTTTATGAGAACAATATACTGCAGTGTCAAACAGATTATAATCTGAAATAACTTTCAGTGTGTTCTCCTAAATTGCTGATGCAAAGCCAAAGTCCAATCACTTATTCAGCACATATAATGTGTCAGGTTCTATATTTGAGAAGTTACATACATATCCATGTTGGAAATAAAGTGATATATGTTTTCTAAAATTGACCTTGAGAGAATATTAGTCAAAATCTCCTTCTCCCTCTATCTTCCCTTGCTTATTTTAGGGCACACAGAGTAGTATAAAATGTCTTCTAGCTGAGGAGCCTCCAGGTATCATGCTGTTCAAGTAGGGGTGTTCAGATTTATTTATTTGCCTTAAATTATCAGAGGCATATAAAGATTTTATAAATTTGAATCAAGATTTGTCTAAATTTGTATTAATTTACACCAAGTTTATGCCTTCCATGTTTAGATAAAATATTTTGTTAAAAAAAAAAAAGAAAAAAGAAAAAAAGAGAGAAGAGCCCTGGCTGCTTTGGGTTAGTGGATAGATAGAGTGTCTGCCTGAGGATTGAAGGGTCCCGGGTTCGATTCCGGCCAAGGGCACATGCCTGGGTTTGCGGGCTCGATCCCCAGTGTGGGGTGTGCAGGAGGCAGCCGATCAATGATTCTCTCTCATTATTGATGTTTCTATCTATCTCTCCCTCTCCCTTCCTCTCTGAAATCAATCAAAAAGAAGAACAACAAACTCTCTTCGATAGAGATTGGAGCATAAATTAACAACGTGTATTAACAATTCTAAGGTTTCACTTTTTTGGTTCGAACCCAGTTCAGCCACTAACTAGGTGTGTGACTCGAAGAAGTTACTTCAACTTTCTGCATTTTAAAAATACATATCATTATTGGTCACTGATATAAAATTGTTGAGAGCTGTAAATGTGAAAATACATGAAAAAGGCCTGGCACATAGTGAGAGCTAAATAAACATCAGTAAATATTCCTATTGCTGAGTTTATTAACTGTTTTGGCAGAGATGTACAAGAATTGAGAAGAGAAAATCTTGATAAAGAATTTCTTGCAAGAATGGGAAAGATCAAGTCTGAAGATTCATAAATAGCTAATCCGATCAGTATCAATTTGAATTTTACCCCACCCTTCCTTCACTAGATATTTAGCACTTTTCTAAGATTGATCTTATAATTTGTAATTTCATGGGATTCTAGCCTTGTCTACTTCTGCTCAGCGCAGAATCCTCTAAGCCAGCGGTTCTCAACCTGTGGGTCGCGACCCCTGACCCCTTTGGGGGTCCAACGACCCTTTCACAGGGGTCGCCTAAGACCATCAGAAAACATATATAATTACATTACGATTCATCACAGTAGCAACATTACAGTTATGAAGTAGCCACAAAAATAATCTTATGGTTGGGGGTCACCACAGCATGAGGAACTGTATTAAAGGGTCGCGCATTAGGAAGGTTGAGAACCACTCATAAATGACAAACAGCACCACACCACGCAACTGGGGAAACCCGAGTGTCACCAGGTCCGTGAGTTGGTGCTCTTCATGCTCCTCAGTGGGCGTGCCGGGTATGGATGGGCTGGCGAGGGGGTGTGACGACTCCTCCTCCAACTCCTTCCCCTCCGCAGCCACAGCTCCGCCCGCCGGCCACTTCATCGGCCTCCTTAGCGCCTTTCTCCTGCGGCCCGCCCTCCTCCGGGTGTGCGGCGGGCGCGGGAGGCGGGCTCAGCTCGCGGGCTGCGCCTCTGCAGCCGGGGGAGGGCGGGAAGGCGGGCGGAGGCGGGGCGGGGCCTGCGCCGGGCGGTTGCTGGCGCTGAGGGCGGTGGGAGCCGAGAGGTACCCCGCTGGCTCGGCAGGCGGCCTCTGCCCGGATCTCGGCGCCGCAGCCCGGAGCCTTTCCCGCCCTGGTCTCCGGCTCCGCGGCCCCAGGCGCGGCGGAGGTGGAGAAGCTGCGAGCCCCCGGTAGGTTGCACGGGGACGGCGGTTTCGTCTGCAACCTTTTGTGCTGCAGAAAAGGTGGTGACGGGTGGGTGGTGGTGGTGATGGGGGTGCCCCCGTCCCCGACTCCCCGTGCCCGCTCCAGTCGCGGCGCCGCCCCTTCCTCCCTGCCTGGTGTCGGGGCCGGGCGCACGGAGACCTCGCGGTGCCGGGGAACCCCGGCCGGCCGGCCGGGCGGGCGGGCCTCCGGGATGGGCGGCCTCCGGGACCCCCGGCCTCGGCGAGCAGGTCCCTGAACGCCCGAGCTGGGGCTGGGGTATGGTGAACTGGGTGGGGCCCTTGCCCGGTGCGGGGAGCCCGCGGTTCCCTGGCACAGGGGTGGGGCCGAGACGCCGTGAGTGTGCAGCGCGTGTGAGTGAGTGTGCGGGGGCGTGCGCCCGTGTGCGCGCGGCGTGCGCTCGGGGAGCTCCGGGCAGCGCCTCTCCCGGTGCGGCGCCGCGGAAGTCGGGGCGCATTGGCGCGCACCATCGCTGCGCCGTTGCTGTGGCCGCTCCGGGGGCGGCGGGCCTGGGGGCCCCATTGAGAAGGAGCTCTTTCCCAGGCCTGCTGCGCGGTGGCCGCGTGCCCGGCCGCACGCCGGTGCGACTGCCCGGGCCAGATAGTGCCTCTGGGCGAGCCCTGGCGGCCTTATCTCGCCGCCCTCCTCGCCAGCGCAGCCACCCGGAGGGGACCGCGGGGCGGGGAGCGAGGCTGACGCGAGCCTGCAGCCCGTGACCGCTGCGGGGCCGCGGGTGCGGCGGGTGCGGCGGGTGCGGCGGGCGCGGCTGGCCGGCCTTGTCCGGGGTCGCGCGTGTGGACCGGCGCGGGGTGCTGGCTTGAAGCGAAAGCGGCAGATGTCTTTGGGCATCGCCGCCTTCGCCCCACCTGTCGCGGGTCGACTTTGGGGCGGGTGGGAAGCGGGGGAAAGGGGTTTCCAGGCCGGCGGCAGTCAGCCCTTGAGCAGGCGGCCCCATTGTGAGGCTGCCAAACTCTAGTGGTGGAATCTGCAAATCTCTGCCAGAAAGGAGATGGGCACACGAAGGGAATGACGGCCCCGTCCCTTCCCCTTGCAGTTGTTCCACAGCCTTAGGGTCTCCCTGCTGCTTCATCCGCGCCAGCCTGCACCCAGTGGGTTAGTAATTTGTGTCGAGCCAAGATGCTGAGTGTGAATGTGGGTGGCTGTGGCGCACAGGTTAAAACTGGAGCTGGGAACTTTTTAAACATTTGAGGAATTGGAAGAACGAAAGCAGAAGCATTTTATAGTGTGCTTGCTACTCCTAGCCGAAAGAGCAATTCTTGCACAACATTTCTGACGTTACTAGACTCTTCATTTTACATTCTTTTTCTCAGATGAGCCACCCTACAATTTAGAATGGTTAGTTGGTTTGATTTTAACCCTGTAGAGCAGGCTAGACAGTACAGAGATAGAAATGACCCTTTCCCAAAGTTTATTTCCCCAGGTATTTTAAAATACAGCACTGGTTATTATTGCAGAAGCTTTTGGTCCTTTAATTCAAGACCATGATTTATGCTTACACAGTTATGTTCAATGGATGTTTCACAGATTTCTCAGTGTTTTATTGTGTACCTGTGTATGCATTATAAACTTTAAAAAAATGACCAAAATGAAATACAAGGATTAATCAGTCCAGAGACCTCTTGATTTGATCTTACATAGAGTCAGTGGATTTGTTTACTGTCTCTATGTAATTTTTTGTACTTTGGAGAGGTACTGTACACATTAACCCTTAAGGATGTAGTGTGGTGGGAGTAACCAAACTTTTATGTACAGGATTTTTATCCCGGGTAGGGTGGAGATCAACTCTTTTCCAGAGAGAACTCTGATTTTGTCACTAGTCTATCAAAATATGCTCCTAGTTTTAAGCTTTCATCAGGAAGTTTCGTCAGTTCCACTGTGAACACCTGTCCCGCTTAGGTTATGCTTCCAGAGGCAAGTTTCATGTAAAGACTGCATGCAGCCCTGCAGTTCTAGTTACCCTCCCTCATATTTGTGGTGAAACTGAATTTTTTTCCTAAAATAGGTGGAAGGATGATTTCATCTAATGATAAGGAATTGATAATCTAGCTTTAATTTCTAGCAGAAATAGAAAATGGGTGCTGTACTTAAAGGGGGTTTTTATTAAAAGAACTGATAATGGAGAAACACATTTTTGTCTTACGGAACCCATTATGGGTTGTCTTACAACGTTGGTGAGGTTAATAATTTGTTTGTAAGCTCAAGGATGGTTTCAGAAAAGTCACACCCTACTTAACGCTTCTTAAAAATTATTGATGATTTTGTTTTTATGAGTTGCAAACTAAAAAGGTTATTTTAAAGTAAACTGTACAATGAACCTGTATACACAGCTAAGCATTTTTGTTTGTGCGTGTTGTTAAATCATTTTATTTCTGCTCAGTGTTCTGTTTTTGGAGAGATGTTTTGATCCTCTCTTCTAGTGTTTTTAGAGTGATCTTTGAGACTGGTGGTTGCAAAGTATTTTCATTAATCTCAACAGAACTTTAAAAAATTTTTTCTAAGTGGTTTTTCATTATTGGTCTTTCCTCAGACAACCTGAGAAGTACTACCTGTTTCAATTTTTGTCTTTGTGTTTTGAGAACTAGAATTAGAACCCATACCTTCTACTCTATCAATTTTCTTTGCCTAAAATTTATCTCATTTTTCACAACATAATCTTTAATGATTAGTGGAATTTATTTACCAAAATTCACAAGGACTATGTGCTAGCCTTCATATTTATAACCTTATGATTTGGAAGTGACAGATTTTGTTAAATTTTTTCTTATTGCTATTTAGTTAGTGGATCTATGCTGAAGTCTGACTTTTATGGCTTTTTGTATGTAGTGATTTTGTGTGGGCTTAAACATTTCCAAGTGGCGCTCTCTATATTTGGGGGAAAATCACTCTCTTCTCTGGTTCTCAATGCCGTTCAGATTTACTGTTATATCTGTTATATTTACGTATTTCCACATCTGTCTGTCTTTCCCTCTGGCCTGGTCTCAGGCTTCACTTTTTGTATTTGCCCCAGAGTGTGTACAGTGCGGGGGTGTAATAAGAGTTAAAATATTGTTGAGTGACTGAATGAGTAAATGAATAACTCAGTGGCTGAGTGGATACACCCAAACAGATACTGTATGGGAAGCCATTATGCAAGCAGAGGGTCCTTCCTCCCTCCCTACAATCTTTGCCTTTCCATTGTCATATATTACTTTTGAATAAGATAACAATATAATTGCCCAACTGGGACACTTTTGAGACATAAACAGAGTGCTGTAAATAATTATGCCAGGGCACTGGTGGCTGTGACCTGAGACATGTGGCCATTCTACTTTTGAAGGACATTCTTCTTTATTTACCTCTGATGATATCTATCATCTTGCCTGAGAAATTTGACACACTTGCTAGTTGATGTTTGCAAACTTTTCTATTTGTAGAAGCCTCATTTCCAGTCAAATGCTTGGTGTCTTTTGCTTAGTCACTCATGGTTTCCCTACCCAGAGGCCTGTGGACAACTCTTGACCATACTTAATTTTTCTTATTTTCATTGCTTACAGGTTAATGCCACAGGGCTTTCTATTTGTTTCAGCTGCTTATAGATGAAAGCATTATATACTCTAGTCTGTGCTGTGTTTATTTGAATTTGTTTTTCTATGCAGCATTTAGTCCATCTTGTAAGAATTTCACATGAATTTGTTTCCTTCTTGTTGATTGTTTTTGAGAGGAGATCTGTTGATATCTTGCCAAGCCTTCGTGTTCAAAACATTGGCCAGAATCAATTGCAAGTGTTAGAGATTTTTAAAGTATTCTGAAAACATTATTTCAAAAGTATTTTGGGGTAACTTTAATATCACAATGTTTTGTTTCTTAATGGGAGATGGGTTACTAAAATGTTTTACTGGAATCCTTTATAGGCAATCTCTTAAAGAAGGAGTATTCTTTTATTAGTTTCTGGCCTTGCTCTTTTAATTTTTGTTCTTGTTTTCACCATCTTCATCATTGTCTTCTTAGCACCTGTGCAGGGTTAGCAGGCTGTTAACAGACAAAACAGTAAGCAGAGTCAGGAAGGAGTAAAATCCGAGAACTGGAAAGGAGCTCCTGCACACCTTGGCTTTGCCCTCTGTGGCTCCCCTGGACGCTGTGTTTATATTCTATTTTGGGCTTGGCACCGGCATCATAGGGATAATCAGTTACTACACCTTGTTTACTATGAAAAACATTTCCTAAACTTCCACATCAGCTCCATTGCAAGACTTAGATAAAGACTTTAAGGCTTCTCTGCTTTCAAATCTGCAATGACGTTTCATATCTAAAGCCGTGTCAGTGGGCTTTGGAGTCAGATGGTTTGGGGTTCAGATTCCTGCTTTGACCCCCAGATAGTATTCAAATACTTTACAGTGGGGATACTGTTTTCCTCAGGGAGCATTTGTTAATATTAAATTGAGTATAGCACCTGACATAGAAGTTACTCAAGATATTCGTTTCTTTTTATTTCCCTTCCCCATTAAAAGTGTATTTACTTAAATAAGAAATAACTTGAACTTTATAATATTAGTATTGGGGAAATTCTTTTGCGGGTGGTTATTTTCAATAAAATGTCTTATTAGGTAACCATTGTGGTTACATTACAGTTCACTTTATGTTAAAACCAGGGGCTGCAGGGGTGGAGTAGAACCAAGTCGCAATTATCTAGGTTTCTTGGTTACCCAATTTGAGAATAGTCTGTGGCAAAAGAAATGAAAGGGAGTGCGTTACCTAAATCTTAAGTTCCAAAGGCTGAAACGTGTTAGTTTCTTGGAATGACAGTTCGCGATGCATTAACTTCCTCCAGTTTCTCAATCCGTAGAAGCAAATGCCTTTAATTCAGTGATTGTGCATATCCTTTGAATAAAACTCTTCTGGGCTGATAAGGGAAGTAATACAGTGACAAACTCCTCTCCCTTTCCCTTGCTGTTTGTATTCTGTTGGACTGTTGCCACTTCAGGCTCTGTGCACCTATGTAGGTAAAATGTGTCCCCCCCTCTGACCCGCCCCCGAGGTTAAACACAACAGTAGAAAACCCAACAACCCAGAAACCTTTACAGGTGGGAAAGACTTTGGGAAGTTTTCTCTTACACCTTTACCTCCCCAGGTAAGAGGGAAAGGCACTGAGGAGATGCTAGAAACCTTAAGCAATGTAATAACTGTAGAGGAGTGTTTTTTCAAGTTGTTCTCTGTGGAGGTTTTTCTGTTTGTTGGTTTTTAATGTTTTCCAAGAGCCTTCCAATCATTTGCGTCAGAGCAGTCTTACGAAGGATTTTATTGCTGCTATTTTATGGCTAAAATGAGTAGATAACAAAAATTAATTGCATAATAACATCACACATCGTAAAAGGCTTTGCAGCATGCAGAGCACATTCACTCATCTATCTCATCTCACTTGATCCACATAACTACAGTATGAGGGAGGGAGGATGCTGTTGTCCTCAATTCAAACATTGCTAAGCAAGGTCGTGAGGTTGACTTCTTAGTCAGGCTAGGGCTAGGACCTGTTCATTTGAACCCAGCCTCAGGGTTATTTCTTTCATAGGCTACTGTGCGTCTGTTGGGTGGTGGAACCAACATTTAAATCCCTAAGATTTAGCCCAGATAGCTACTTGTGGTCTCCAGGTAGAGCTTAAGCAACGGAACACAGAGGAACAAACTTGATAAAACGTTTGAGGTTTAATTTAGCTGAAAATATTAAAAATTATTTTAATTAAATTAATAGCTATTGTATCCTATGTAACCTGTACCTGGTATTAGTACTTCTTGCCAGTTTTGCTGTTAGAATTGGCATACTTGCTTTACAAGTTTTGTTACTTGTTAAATTAAAGGTTTATTTTTGTATCTCATGTTTAGTATCTGGAATAGAGCAGAAAAATTATGCCTGTGTTCCCTTGGGACTCATTGGAAATTGTACAGTGACATCTTCTGGGATTTAGTCTGGTGAGTTATATTTTGCCTTTTCTGTTTGTTAACCAGTTGTATAAACATATTATCATAATGTGTTTTAAGAATTACATGAACTGATAAATGTGAAATCTGAGTATATTACTGCAAATATGTATATTATAATTATGAACATTTTAATTATTAGATTTTTATTTAATTAAATTTTAATTGAGAACTGAAATTATTGTTGCAAAATGCTAACATTTTTGAAAATTTCCTTTTTTAATTCCTGTAAGATAAACGAGGTCTTATGGGATATTTCATAATATAGTAGTTAAGAGGTAGTTGCTCTAATTTCAAGGAAATTTTAGTAAAAACGATAGTCTCCAGAGACTGGCAGAAAGTTCTAGTGTATATTATTGTACATAAAGAATGGCAAGCAGGTGACTGAAAGAACATCATTTTCACTTAGTCGGATAGCAGTTCACTGCAAGTGCGACATTCCTTTTATCACACCATGAATTTAAACTTAAAAATATGCAATGCTGTTGTTTTCCTTTAGTTGTCTTTTTTCAGTATGTCGTCTGTGTATCTGTGCTGACACAGTTATTCATATGGCTCCAAGTCTTTGAAGGGGAAAAAAATTAATAATGACTCTAACTCTTTAGCATTTTATAGACTTAACTAGTGTGAGTTCATGCTTTGGTGTGACATCCTGCTAGGCCAATGTCTTTATAAGTCCTTTTTTCGAACTACTTAGAGTGGTCATAATCTTTGAAAAAGGCAATTTCATGATAAATGATTTCCAGTTGATCAGTCAGCCCCAGAATGAGTCAAAGGACAATGGAGAAACACAAACAGTTATGTTTGTTACGTAGATATAGCTTAACAAACCTATGAAAATGCATTTTAAAACATTGAAAAAATGGAAACATTACTAATATTTTGTTTTGAAGAAAAGAGCAAGAAGTTTGAACATCAGAAGTACAAAGTACTTTTAGAGGATGTTAAATAAGAATGTGACTGGGTCACTGGCTCATAAAACTGAAATAAAGCACAAAATTTGGTCCTCCAATTTCTAAAATTCTTCTAATTGTATATTCTCAGAATCAGAAGGTATCTTAATGGTTGCCCACTCTATGTTTGAATTCCTTAAGTGACAGGTCACTTACTACTTCTCGAGTTGGTTCATTTCCCCTTTGGCAGCTCGGCTAGAATGTCCTTCTGTTTACATATATAACTACATCTATAACTGTGTGTACATATGTGTACATATGTATCTGGAAAGATGTAGATACAGACACACACATACTCACACACTCTTGTAGCTACAGGAATAGAAAATTCAGAGGATCATCAAAAAACTTGGAAATATGTCACAGCTTATTTTATTTTTAAAGTCAGACTTACTAAAATATAATTTATATACAGCAAAATTCACCCTGTTAAGGTATAGAGTTTGATGAGTTTTGACAGATATAATCAATTGTGTATTGACCACTTCAGTCAATATAGAAAATACTGTCACCACCCTCCAAAATTCCCTTTACCACTTTGTAGTTCATCCCCTTCCCCCAACCCCATCCCTAGGCAGCCACTGATTGATGTCTGTCCAGTAGTTTTGCGTGTTCCAGAATGTCATGTACGTGGAACCACACAGCATGTGGCGTTTTCTGTCTGCTCCTTTCATTGACTGTAAGCCTAGTTTGCTCCTTTCCATTGCCGAGTGGCGTTTTATTATATGGACGGAGCACAGTGTATCCATTTTCCTGTTGGTGGACGTTTGCTTTGTTTTCACGTTTGATGATTATGAATGAAGCTGTTGTAAACAGTCACATTCAGTTCTTTGTGTGAACATATAGTTTCACGTGTCCTAGGTTAATATCTACAAGTAGAGTACGTGGGTTGTTTAATAATCATTTATTTAAATTTGTTAGGAACTGTCAAACTGTTCTTCAAAGTGGCTGTACCTAACTGAGGCTTCTGAGAAGCTAAAATAACTACACCAAAGTGTATGCAGATGAGGGACCTGATTCTCATTCAGCACAGGTTTATTTTTATTTTATATCCAGTTTTAACAGGTTTGGTTAGCAGATTTATTTAAAGCCCACAGTGGATTAGGAACAGTAAACTTGAAGGCCTTGGGAATAGGTGTTAGCAATTGGTCCCTAATGTGATGGTCACTGATATGACTAACACTATTGGTTTAAAAAAAAAAAGAAAGAAAAAGGTGGGGCCGGAACTCACAGGGGTGAAATTCTTCTGTCTGACAAGGCCCCAGGCATGAAGGTTTCTTGTAATCACCTGGCGATCTTTTACAATTCAGAGCCCAGGGAATGAAGTCACGATCCGGTAGGGCACAGACCTCAGTGTTTTTCTGCAGCTCCTTAGATGATGTCAGTGAAGGCAGGGTTGGAATCACATGGTGGTTAGAAGCACAGCCCTGGGACTGCCTGCCTGGCTCTGGGCAAATCCCTGCCTTGTGCCTTCAGGGTTGTCTGCTCTGTAATCGGAGGTTCCAGGTAGGTGAACTCCAAGATGGTTCTGCACTACAGTGTGATGGTTCGTGATATTATTAACCTCATAATAGCCGTGCTGAAGAGACTCCATTTCCCAAGCATTGGCTCTATTCTGAACAGTTTGTTTCAGGTACCTCTTGAACAGAATTCTGTTCACATGATGCCATTTTTGTTCAGTATATTTTAGACAGTTATGTTATATCTGTTTTCTCTTAAGTGATATTGCTGTAGGTTTCTAAAAACAGTTCAAGCATATGGAGCAGTTTTTGTTGTTGTTGTTGTTACTGAGGGTGACTTTTTTTTTGATAAGCCTGATTTTAAAAAAAAATTCAGTACTTCTTTGTATAACAGTTGTGAAACTTACCAGCTATTTTCAGAGATGGTCTAAGGACTAAGGCATCTAGGTTATATTTTAAAAATGTTGCTCCTTTTGCCAAATGTATAGGGAGTTGTTCGGAGCTGAACAGTTGCCATACAGGTCACAGTGCTTTAAATGTGCTCATCTTGGTGCGTCAGGTTCCCCTGGATGTGGACTGAGGTTTGGATATTTGCTTTAGTTTCAGACAAAATTCCCAATGGCGTGCCGCACCCATTGTTTTTAAAATGTGCACTGTGTACATTTTTATGGTAAATGTTAAAGTGTTGCTTGTCTCATGTTGTCTAGTTTGAATCCTCGTATATTTCAAGGAAATAGAGTCGTACCTATAGTCGTACCTGTGAACATGGCCAGGTCTTTCATATGTGTTGTAAATGTACTTCAGTATCACTGCTACTGATTGGACTGTGAGAGAATATGATATTGAAGAACCTTAGGTGTCATTTGAAGAATTACGTTTGTTCCTGGCACTTGTTTAAGAAACTGAGTTTTAAAAGCATTGTTCAACTACAAGTTGACTTTTGTTGCTTTTTCTGTTTTAGACTCTTCTATCTACTACGATCTTGCTGCTTCTGTTATTATAAAACACTTTTTCTGTTTCCTGTTGCCAGTCTTTATTTTTGCTTTTAACTATACATGAAAGGCACTAATGGAAGCAATAGGGTATTGCTGGTTTCTGACTTTCAGTGTTCTGCATTGCAGAAGTTAGCATTGGACCTGAGTTATTAGCACTGGACCCGATTTCTCAGTTCACATTTATTCTTATTGCTGCAGTGGGGGGGTGCCTGTTGCACATATCTGCATTTTATACCAGAGTGCTTTGTAATCATTTATCTTGCAAGCGTGCTTTTTTTGATACAAGGTTATTTTAGAATATGAAACAAAATGCTTAGTCGTGAATAAGTTTGTTAAAAACTTACAAGCAGATTTTTCATGGTAAAATGTGAAGAATTTGTTGCTAAAACACAGGCCAGCTCCAGTTGTAGTCATTCATTCCCGATGGATGACTTTTAATAAGAAATTTTGCAGTCTAAAATATTGGACATCCATATATCAAGATATGCTGACTTTGAGACCATTAGGTTTTTACTACCTTTAGCATCACCCTTTTTATGTAGATTTCCAGAATTAGAAAATACCTAGACTTCCTCTATTTCAGGTAGGACAGTACATATGCCACTTAGGCCCATTTGAAAGATAACCTGAGAAAGTAGATTCTGTAACTACTGTCAGGTTCTTGCCCCAATATTTAAATCCAGTCAGGAAATTATCAGGAATTTAACCACATAGAAAGTTTTTATTTTCAGTTACATTGAAGAAGTTAGCATTCCACCCAGCTCAAAATGAAATATTCGCCAGTCATTGTTCCCTTGTCTGAAACCCAAGGCTCCACATAATGGATGTTCTTTAGAAAGGCAATATGTAAGTGGAAAGGATCTTAAAAAAAAAAAAAAATCTAAGCAATTTGTAGAAGTTCTGGTTGTACCCTTCTCATTCCTACTTCAATATCTGGAGCTGGAGATGTTCTTGTACATATGACTATCCTATAGAGACCAATGGAACCACCTAAAAGATCTGTTAGTTTTGAGACTATGCTATCGTTTGGAGAGAAGTATTGATGCTTTATAGCTAAAAAATGCAAACAAATTTTCAACCCTTAGAATTATTCACGAGATGTTCACTATATATTACAGCTATATATGTAAAGATTTAGAACGAGCATTTTTGTGTTCCAGTGCAGCAAGACTCTGGTTCAGAAATTTTACATTGGGTATTGACCTTAGTTACTTATTAGTGAAGAGGGTATTGGCAGTGCTTATTTCTTTAACTTTTTTGTTAAATCTTGTTTTCTACCTGGAGTATGTTGTTCATGTCATTCTAGTATGTTGGTTTCTTATACCAGACCGCTTGGTTGAAATTTCCAGAGTTCTTAAACCACATCTAATTAAGAATGTAGGTTAAATCATTGATTGTCAGGTGGATGCCTGAAGGTCCTTTTGGTTATTTTACCCACACCAGGTAATGTTTTTTCTGGTGTTTTTGGCTGCTGGAGACTTAACCAGGGATAGTTCTCATCTAACAGTGATATCTAGTTCATGCCACACATTGCCTCACTCCACTTTTCTACTTTTCTAGGTACTTATTTCCTAGCTGCTATGTAACTTTTGCCTTTTACTCTCAAACCTTTGTATACTACCGTCATTTACCCTTAACCCTGAGATATTCTAGGAATTCCCGATGGTCTGCCCTGATGCGCAGGATTGACTTCCTGCAGGAACACATTTTTGATGATCCTATTGTCCACTCTTCTTTCCTGTGACTTTGTACACCATTAACTTGCTTAGCAATTTTTCTCCCTCATAGGGAAAAAAAAAGTGACTTTCAGCCTAGCCTCTGTTTGAATTATTACCCAATTCAGAATGGGTGGGATGTGAAACACGGATTTTAGGAAGTTCATAATATACCAAGTGCAAATTCTGTAAGGTGGCTGGTGGGAATCCGTGGACTGTCATAGACTGGCCAGACTTGGAAGAGACCTGGGCCAGTGCCACTTAATGCGACTGACGCTTCAGTGTCACCACCCGGGTAACTCCTTGGGAGGGCGCTCAGTCTGTGTGTGTGCTGCCTTGCCTCCACGGCCCTGGTTGTTTGGGCCTCACTGACTCTCCTCTGCTTGTCTTTTCAGAATCAAGTATCAGAATCACTTCTGCCTGTCGGGTTACGCAGGTTGGAGGCCTTCCAATAAGCTCTTCCCTTGTGCTCTTATCTGGATAACAGAATTCTCGAGAAAGGGAGGGTTAGTTTGTCATTTGGCTTAGAGTAAACAATTGTTTCTTCAGCACAAAGTTGGATGAAGCTTCAGACGGCCCTCTGAAGTTTATGAGATGAGAAATCTTTAGGTTTTAGTGTGCAGATCAAAGTAGCCAGTAGTCACCTACTTCCATCCTCTCCATAGAGAAATAAATTACACAATCAAATACAAATTTGTTTTTACATTAATAAAATAGAAAAAGCCAATTACTTTAAATCTAGAAGGGTTGAGAGGCTAAGGTGTTTTGGTTAAATTAAAATTGGAAGTAGTCTAAGATTTAGAGTAAAATGTAAGTAAAACTATATTGATCCCTTTAGCATTTGTTTTATCTCAGGAATTAAACTTAATTTTCAGCTGACATATAGATGTGGACTGTAGTAAGGGCAGGATGGCATCTGGTAACTTCATAGTCTTGGTTTATTTATTTTCTAAGGAAGGAAGTGCAGCATGCAAATGAAGGAATAAGGTTGTGACTTTCCTTAGTTTTCTAATTGCTTGGATTAAAAAAAATTTTTTTAATTGGCCTTAGCTGGTTTGGCTTAGTGGATAGAACATCGGCCTGTGGACTGAAGGGTCCCCCCTGGGTTTGATTCCGGTCAAGGGCATGTACCTGGGTTGCAGGCTCCTCCCTGGCCCGGGCCCTGATAGGGGCTCGTGCAGGAGGCAACCAATCGATGTGTTTCTCTCACATTGATGTTTCTCTCTGTCTTTTCTTCTCTCTCCAACTCTTTCTAAAAATCAATGGAAAAATATCCTCAGGTAAGGATTTAAAAACTATATATATATATGTTTTAATTGATTTCAGGGAGAGGGAGAGTGGGATAGAAACATCAATGATGAGAGAGAATCATCGATGGGCTGCCTCCTTCACACCCCCAACTGTGGATCGAGCCTGCAACATGGGCATGTGCCCTGAGTGGGCATTGAACCGTGACCTCCTGGTTCATAGGTCCATGCTCAGCCTCAGAGCCACATAGGCCGGGCTCTAATTGCTTGGCTTTTAAACAGATACCCAAATTTTAGGAAATGCATCAATTAGGAAAGGTTTTGTTTTACAAAAGGATTCATAAGAATTATTTAATATAACCTTTTTCAATAAATATTTAATCTTAAAATCAATTACTACATGACAAGATTATAGTAAGCAATCTGATATACTTAAAACTGTGTTATCTATATCTAATTGAGGATCAAGTAGAAATAAACTTTCTCAGAAATGTCATTGTCATTCAGGTTCCCTTAGTATTTTATTTTCCAAAATTTGATTTATCTGTGATTTTCTAGAATCTGGCCATTATTTGTGGTACTTCTTGTCAATGAGATTTCCAAACAATGTAATGAGATTATTGTGATGAATATTAGTATTCTTAATTCATTATGAATTCTTCTGCCATTTATTAAACAGTTCAAAAGTGTAGTATCTGCCGAAACCGGTTTGGCTCAGTGGATAGAGCGTCGGCCTGTGGACTGAAAGGTCCCAGGTTCGATTCCGGTCAAGGGCATGTACCTGGGTTGCGGGCACATCCCCGGTGGGGGATGTGCAGGAGGCGGCTGGTCGGTGTTTCTCTCTCATCAATGTTTCTGACACTCTATCTCTCTCTCCCTTCCTCTCTGTAAAAAATCAATAAAATATATTTAAAAAAAAAAAAAAGTGTAGTATCTTAGATGGTATGTTTTATGATGAAATGTTCAAATAAAATAACATCTGATATTTTATATATGTTTCATGTTAAAAATGATTTATTGTATTTAGGGTTAACTTTTAAAGTACAAAATGGTTAATTTTGCGTAATTCATTGGGAACATGGAAGGAGGAATATTTACAAGGTTTGGGGGAACCTTCCACTAAGACTTCGCCTTACCATAAGACAAGCTTTTTAGGCCTACAGTGGGACCTTGACTTACGAGTGTCCTGACTAACGAGTTTTTTGAGATGCCAGCTGTCTCTCAGCCGATTTTTTGCATTGAGTTGACAGAGTAATTTGAGTTAACGAGCTCTCGGAACGAATCAAACTCGTAAGTCAAGGCCCCACTGTACATTGAATCTTTGCAGAAATGAATTAGCTCTTATCGATTTCATTATATGCCCCGTAAGCACATTTGAAAAGAATTGCAGGTTGAAGAGCTGAGCACGTATTTTTAATCATATGATGGAAAATGAAAAGATTTTAATTTTCATATTGGAAAGAGTTTGTAGATTCTTGTGAAACTGTGTATGATTATTCTTATTTGCTTAATGTTGAGATCTGTATTTGATTTGCTTAATATCGCTTCAAGTAGTAAACTTGGCGTGATTGAATGGAGCACTGGTTTTAGAGAAGTATTGTTATCTGTAGGCTTCTCCTTTCTTCCAACTTTAATTTAACCTGCCTTGAGTTCTTAGAGGCAGAGAAGTAGTAGTCATTTCATGCCTGCTCTGGAGCGTGTAGTAGACAGATAAAAATCTGTCCAATGTACATTGGCTGTTTTCCAGGCCAGAGTTACTTCCTGCTCCTTCAGCCTTCTAAAATGACCCAGCTTGGCCCATGGTTCTGCGCGTTACACTCTTCTAATCTGTCTGTCTGCTTTTAGGAGTGTGCAGACTGGTGCCTAAAATGGAAGTAGATGTTAATGGAGAGGCCAGAAGTACCCTGAGCACCCTGCCCTTGCCCGTGGCTGAGGTGAGCTCCCCGGGGAAGGCAGAGGCCGAGAAGCCCCGCTGCTCCAGCACACCGTGCTCGCCGATGCGCCGGACGGTCTCAGGCTACCAGATCCTCCACATGGACTCGAACTATTTGGTTGGCTTCACTACCGGCGAGGAACTCCTGAAGTTGGCCCAGAAGTGCACAGGAGGTGAAGAGAGTAAGGGAGAAGCCGTGCCTTCCTTGCGCTCCAAACAGCTGGATGCAGGACTTGCACGCTCCTCTCGTTTATATAAAACCAGAAGTAGGTACTACCAACCGTATGAGATTCCAGCTGTCAATGGCAGGAGGCGAAGGCGGATGCCCAGCTCAGGAGACAAGTGCACTAAATCTTTACCTTACGAACCTTATAAGGCTCTCCATGGGCCCCTGCCTCTTTGTCTTCTTAAAGGTAAGAGGGCTCACTCCAAATCTCTGGACTACCTCAATCTAGATAAAATGAGCATCAAGGAGCCAGCTGACACAGAAGTGCTACAGTACCAGCTTCAGCACCTAACCCTCAGAGGGGACCGTGTGTTTGCTAGGAATAACACATGAATGACCTGCGGAATGTGTAAACCAGTTTATGACACCCTACACTCGGCCAGAAAAAGCCCGCTGTTGGACTCTGTACAGGACTCTCCACATTATAGATGGTTATATCTGCTAAGTGTTCCAGGAACATAAAAATTGTTCGGATCAAATTTGAATACAGAAATAAAATCACAGGTACTTGGGGAGAAATCATTCTAGAGCACGCAACTACAAAGAAAACAGAATGTTGACCATTAGTTTGTATAGCTTTTTAGCTAGGAAAAAAGGCTTGGTACGGTAAGATCTTTATGATTCTAACGCTCGAATTGGGAATGCTATCTGCTCGGTTGTTGCTGACATGGTATGATTCATTAGAAATTCATATCTTAAGTACTCAAGTACTTCTTTAACCTCTGTATTTTACTATACAATGTATGTCATGATTTGTTTTATGAAATTTAGAACTTGAACATTGCTGAATTTTGGACCACTTTTTATTTTTAAATATTGAGTTTAAATATTTTATAACTGGTTTTGCACTGAAAAAAAATAACAACTAACATTTCCGATTGACACAAGAGCATAAGCTTTCTTCACTTGCCTCAATAATATTATTGAGCAATGAATTTTTTATTTCCGCATGGAAAGTTACTGATCTCTATGGCTGTAAAATATTTCTTTATAGTGTTATTAACATGTCTTAATAAAATTAAATTTGGGATACAAAGTATTTATTTTACAATAGGTGGGGGGAGGGGGAAGCTTTTCCAGAAAGTTTCCAATGTGAAGTTTTCATGAGTTGAAAAAGTTTCCGTTGGGCTTATTTTCTAATTTAAAATTCATCTGGAACTTTAAAATGGAAAGGATTCTTTTAATTGTGGATTATAGGCATAATACTGTTTGCATCTGAATGTTCTGTAAGTGAATGGAACTTTAATAGAGGAACTCATGATTTCTACTATCGAATGCTTAATCAAAGTATGAAGTGATACCATTCAGCATGGCATCGGGTCATCCCAGTTTTAGGTTTTTGCCGCGCAAGCACTCATTGAAATTCCAGTTTCTAGGATTAGTGTAGGAGCCTAAAGTGCTCTGCAGATTTAATAGGTTAAACCTGGATTACTTAACAATTTATGTCAATTGCACTGGTTTAATTTGTTGCTAAAGAAATGCTGTCCTGGCTTTAGTAACAAATACAGCTCAACTATTCTTGAATATATTTTGGGGAAAAAAAATGTATCTCACTTACCTTTTTTAAAAGTTTCTATTTCTTTTTTGACTCTTGAAGGTGCAATTTATTACTGAATTGGCATTTCTGGCAGCATAGACCTGCTTATTTTAAAGTTTATTTTGGGGGCTGTGAGTTTCTTGGGTGTTAGCACTCTTGCTTATAAAATAAGAACACCTTTTAATTAATGAATGGGCCATTCCTGGTGCAGTTGTGACTTTTCTTTAGCCAGAATGAATGGCAAACTATTTAGAGCAGAATAAGTATTAGAAACCCCTAGGAACTCTTAATCAACATTTATTATGCTTTCACTGAGGCAGACCTTATGAAAGAACCTTGGTGAAGTTGGCCCATAGCTTACTGAGTTGATCAAATTTCTTGGTGGGCTGGAAATTTTCAGCTGTTGATACTTTAACGTAAATTGCACCTTTGTAACATATTGACAAATGGTCACTAAGATTAACCATCTCTATACAGTCATTAGTTTGACAAGAAATAGAATCCTGTCAGATGCCAAAGAGTTGGGATTTTTACGTTTAATGATTAGACATCGTTATTTATTGATGATTTACCCTGTGGAACTGTATTATTTCTAACTATGAAATAAAAGGGTGATGTAAACACACATTGTTGTGTGATGCTTTAAACGAGGTCCACCATCAATAGGCTGGTTGCCGTTCAAGAATTCCACCTAAGCACTTATTTTTAGGCCCTGTTTTTGTTTTGAAAAATTACTTTTGGTGCTCCTCCACATTTCAAGGTAAAGGATGTATTCATGGCAATGATTGTATTCTGTGTACCTGTGAGAGCTGTCTCTGCCTGTGCACCTAAATAATTTCTTGAGCTAAATAAAAATATGTAGCTTTTTGTTTTGTTTTGTTTTTCCCTTAAAGACAAGTAAAACTCTGTGGCAAAAATGAATGGGTTAAAGTTGGAGATATGGCACATTTGCTATGTCTGATTAGTAAAGATGCATAACTTTTAAGTTTGATTTCCTAGAAAGTTTTGAAACTCTAGGTCAGTAGTTTTCAAAATGTGATTGCAGAGCCCCTTCCTTCATTCCTTCTTGGTTTCTCTGCACTCCATGGCCCGGTGCTCCTGTGGTAGATGCTGTCCTAGTGAGAAAAAAGGTTAGGCTGGGTCTCTTTTATATGAAAAAAGTCCCTTATCATTTAGTCTTTGAATGTGTTATGTTTTTGAACTCCCCCCACCATTTTTATTCAATTGAATATTCCATACTAAACAGAGCACACTTCTTCTGGTCATATAGACTGATGATGTTATCTTCTAGTATTTGCCCTTAAATACATTGCAGTACCACAGAACTTTAAGTTTTCTTTTCAAAAATATGTTCTAGAGCAGCGGTCACCAACCGGTGGTCCGCGGACGACTGGTGGTCCGTGAGGTCCGAAAGGTTGGCGACCACTGTTCTAGAGGCCCAGCTGATGCATAAAGTAGCTATAGAATTTCAGTCCTCGCCTCAGACTTGCTCCCCTGACTTCCATCCAGTTGCATGTGCACCTCTTCTTCCTGGGCTCCTCTGGCCTTCAGTCAGGGAAGAAAAGACTCAGGGAATGAATTAAAATCTAAACTCATTTGGAACCCAACATTTGGTTTCAGGGCCCATCACGTCCTGTCCATTGCCTATGATGCCCATGTGTGGGGCACCGTCTTTTCCCTTCCTTGAGATGTTTATTTCAATGATTTTAATATTTGGGGCTTGAGGAAGCTTATTTTTTAGAAGATTCTACATTAACTTTTAAAGGTAAACTGACCTTTTCATTAAAGAAAGAACACTTCTTGAGATCTTGAGAAAAGCAACCTATTTTTAGTTATTTTCTCATTCTAACATACTTTTATTTCAGAAAGGCTTTTATTCCATTATAACCATTGACATTATTTTAAGGAAACTTCAATGACCTTGGCCTAAGCGTTTGTTCTTGGTCATTGGAAAGTAGGAGACTGGCAAGCCCATTAATGGCAGGGATACTCTAGAAGGGTTGTGGTGGAGAGAGAGCAAGGATGTGCGTTACAGTGTAGAGGGATAGCAAGTAGTAAGTAAAGTTGGCTTCTAAACAATACGATTTGATTAGAGAAAAATTGATGAAGATTGCCTTGGAAATATAATAAATGTGATTAGAAAGCCAGAAGTGGAGGTTGTCAGCACTTAATGATGAACTTCACTTTGTAATGTGCTTCTTTAAATAAGAAAAATGAGGGATTTTTCTGGCCAAGGAGAACAGTACTAGAAACGAATCAAGAATGGGTTTGATTTATTAGTTTGTTTGCCGAGCCCCTAGGACACTGTTACTCTAATGGAGGGGAGATGTTGAATTTGTCTTCTCATCATTGTGAAACGATTTTTTTTTTTTAAGAGAAAAAGTCTAAAACCATATCTCCTAAATGTTGTCAACCCTGGTTTTGTGGTTGTCTTCGATGTGCCAATTTTTGGGAGAGCACAGGGTGAGAAAAGGAACTCTTTAATCAGAAGAATGCAGCATCTATTGCAGCGGTTCTCAACCTGTGGGTCATGACCCCTTTGGGGGTCGAACGACCCTTTCACAGGGGTCGCCTAAGACCATCGGAAAACACATATATAATTACATATTGTTTTTATGATTAATCACTATGCTTTAATTACGTTCAATTTATAACAATGAAAATACATCCTGCATATCAGGTTTTTACATTACGATTCGTCACAGTAGCAAAATTACAGTTATGAAGTAGCAACGAAAATAATTTCATGGCTGGGGGTCACCACAACACGAGGAACTGCATTAAAGGGTCGTGGCATTAGGGAGGTTGAGAACCGCTGCTCTATTGGAATGAAAAAGAGTTGCTCCAGTCCTTGGAATCCTTAAGTGATCCTGGCTGGCTGGCTTCTGGAGCGAAGAGCTTTGATGCTTTTGCTTTTGTAGAAAAGCTAGCATCACTTTCAAAGTTTCTGCTGAATGCTCTCAAGAACATTCTTACTGTGTGACCATGGGAAGAGGAGAGGGCACTGGGTTCATGATGTTGACCTGGAGGTCTGACTCACCAAGGGAGAGTATTTTCACCAAACTTGTATGTAAAAGGGTTACACATAGACATGTATTTGGAATACTTTGAAGCATCTATCTTTGGCCTAACACTTTAATTAGGAATAGGAACTTATGCAGGAAGACATTCTTGAAGTAACGGAAATTCAGATTTTGGCTAAGTGGTTAGAGCCAAGATAGCAGATACTGAGCATGCATACCACCATACACCTCACCAATCCACGTGACAGACATGGCTAATCCGTCAGTGCACAGACTCTGAGTCCAGATATGGCCTCATTATCTTTCTTAAACTAGCCCTTTAGAGTAGCTGCTACTGAATTGATCAGTATTACACTGGAGATAAAACCTACCCTCCCCCCCCCTCCCCCCACCTCCTGCAATGGATTATAGCAGCCTTGGGCAAACTACGGCCCGCTTGAAATGAATAAAAGTAAAAAAAAAAAAAAGACCGTACCCTTTTATGTAGTGATGTTTACTTTGAATTTATATTAGTTCACACAAACACTCCATCCATGCTTTTGTTCCGGCCCTCCGGTCCAGTTTAAGAACCCATTGTGGCCCTCGAGTCAAAAAGTTTGCCCACCCCTACAATGGATTATAGTGTGAATTGAAAAATAGTCTGAACATCTTTGAATAGGAGACCATTCTGGGTCCTCTCTTCTAACCAGAGAACAGAGGAGAATGGTCTCCATTACCATCACCCTTAAGATTGATTTCACCTTCAAGGACATGCTTCTTGAGGAAGAGGAGGGCAAGGTGGCATTAGATAAATGCCAAATGAGTGTTTTGTAGAATAAATAGTAATTTAAGAGAGAGGGAAAGTGAGGATCTTAAATCATCTGGGACTAAAATCTGAGAAAGAACTATCTTGTTCATTTTTCTTTCAGTTGGCTGACCAACTTATTGGATGTGCTCTCATTGTTTATCTGTGTAGAAGGTGAAAAAAAACAACACAACCTTCATAGGGAAGTCTAGGAAATGAAAAATAGGAGAAGGCAGAAATCTCAAAGTAATTGAGTCTGAGAAGGAGCAGGGCATGCCAATAATGTTCAGTGGTTATTGCCACTATTCTTGGTGGCTGGCTAAGTTGGACTGATCCACTTTCTAGAAGAGTTAAGGTGGAGGCATAGTTAAAGAGCTGAAATACTAGAGTTGGAGATGAGGGGAGGTGAGAGTTATGAGGGAATAAGTAAATGGATATTTTAGTGATTTTTTTTTCTCTTGTCCTGCAATTAATCCTGGGGTGTGGTGGGAATGACAGAGAAGGTTTGCTTTAATTATGTAAGGTCCAAAGTACATTTAAAAATATGTATTCTTGACATAATGTGTATGAGAAATTTATATGGAAAGTATTTTGCTCAAGAAGTTCCCTAATACAGATCATCTTTTGAAATGACCAATTAGAACCCTGCATTAGTTGGTAGATTTCTGTATTTTACTTTCTAATATTTATAATAAAGTTTGAGTTTTGTATTTTTTATTAACGTTTCTCACATTTTTAGTGTAATGCTCATCTAATAAATTGATGTGGTTAAAGGAAAAATGTTTAAGGGATTAAGACATTATAGGTTTGAATATTGTTTTGTTAGGTCATATAAGGTATTACACTCAGCATTCAAAAGATATTCATTACATGTGACAAAGTGACTTTTTTTTTAAGAGGAAAAGGGCATATAAAATTATATTGGGTATAAATTCTGCCCCTTACCCCGAAATTCATTTCTTAAATGCCTGCTGGCTCAAGCACTCAAAGTGAAATAGATGGGGACTGTGTTTTTTTCTTTCATGTTTTCTTGAAATCATTCCTCGCTTTTTTTTTTTTTTAAGAATCCTTTTGACTAGACTAGAGATACCAGAGAATAAACAATTGAAAGCATGTCTTTCCCCACTGGGACAAGTTACTCTATAGAAATCCCAGGAAATGCTGCAAATGAGAATAGTTTCTAATTTGTGAAATAGAAAAACTGAGAGCTACCTCATTTGCATTACCCTAGACCAGTGGTCGGCAAACTCATTAGTCAACAGAGCCAAATATCAACAGTACAACGATTGAAATTTCTTTTGAGAGCCAAATTTTTTAAACTTAAACTATATAGGTAGGTACATTGTTATTAACTTAATTAGGGTACTCCTAAACTGGCCTTTGCTAAAAACGTCCTCAGTCTGATTGAGGTACGTTCGCTGAGGTCAACCCTTTCCAACTCTCCCATCCACACTCGTCTTGTATACTTGTTTCGTCTATCTCCTTTCGTTCATCCTCTCTATATGTCCAAACCATCTCAACGTACCTTTCTCAATCCTAGACACTACATCTTCTTTCACTCCACAACGTTCCCTAAAATTAACTTAATAAACTTTGCTTGAAGTTTTAAGTTAACTTTGCACTGTATGTGCGCGCCCACATGTATTTTGTGGAAGAGCCACACTCAAGGGGCCAGAGCCGTGGTTTGCCAACCACTGCCCTAGAGCTATAGTATGGGTTCCTTGTATATTGATAACCAAATGTGTGATCTTAGGAGGCTCCAAACAGAATGCTCAGAGAACATGAGGGATTTTATATAAAGTATATAAAACAAACAAACATATTTTTGTTGAAATAGAACCACCTACCAAAGCAAGCTACTATATATGTAGAAATTGATGCTCCTTCAAATTCATGATTCAACCTTTATTCATCCACCACATATTTATTGTGATGACATTTTGTGCCCCCACAGTGATAAATCATGAGACTACAAGGTGCGTGAACACAGAAGCCAGGTCAAGAACAGATAGTTGCATTTTAAAATAAGTGCTGCTAATAAACATGGATTTTAAGATTTTT